AGGAGGGTCACATCTGCACAATTCTACAGACACTGTCCTCCAAAGTCGTTTATTAGAAGATTTCAAAACATTTCAACTGAATGTGCAAGCGCTACAGACACGTTAATATAATAATTCTCTCACAGCAGAGCCACCAGAATTGAGCACCCTGGGAGGTCACCCGGGGGGTCCGTGAGGCAGGGATGCAGAGGTCCAAGCTCAGCCTTCTCTGACTCACTGTGCGGACAAGGTCCTGCCCCAGCACGGGCCGTCCCCGCCCCCACCTGATGGAGACACGCCAGAGACAAAGTGATGTGCTTGGAAGCGGGAGATGCTGACAGCAGATCACACCCTGGCACGGCAGCTGCCCCGCGGGAGAGCCAGGCCTCCTCCACTCCATCTGGCGGATCCACAGCCACGTAATCTGGTTAATACAGACGACTTCTGATGACTGGGTCCCCACAGAATCGTGTCAGGGCCAGATCTCCTGGCCCGAAGTGGAGAGATCCATTTCCATGGGAAGGGATCGCTCCCGGCCCTCACAGACGTGGGCCTGGCTTTGGACTTTAAAGGCCAAGGTCGAGGGGTCTCTGATAGTGGAGTAGGGGTTCTCAGGTCCCACTTGTCTCAAGGCAAGATTTGGAGGCCTTGCTAAACTTTCCTCCCAAACCGAGGGCTGATTACGGGCTACAATGTGAATGGATCAAATTGACCCGTGGATGACCAGGTCCCTTACCCAGAACTGCCTCTACCTTCTTGTAAATACATCCCCACTTTCTGACCAGAACTTCACTGCTCAGGGTCTCAGTTCCTTGGAGGAGCGCCATCCCACCTTCCAACAAGCCAGCAGCCCTCAAACCTGGCTGTGCACCTGCATGTGCCAGTGGGAAAGCCTCTTCTTCCCTCTAAGAGCTTGTCAGAGGCAGACAGGACAGAGAAGAGGACAGTGGGGGAGCCCACAGCACTAAGGACCCAGCGCGCAGTGGCTGGGAGAAGAGAGGAGAGGGATCCGTGACAAACCCGGGGAGGTGATGTTTAGGAGGGACGGGGCCTTGCAAGGTGACGCCTGTTTCTCACAGATGCCAGGGCCAGACAGTTCAGGCGTCTGCAAGAGAAGCCGGCTCAGGGAGCCATCCTGAGAGGTGCTAGAAAACCTCATGCGTCATTTCACGTGTTTGTACATATGGGTCTGCCGAGGGGGCGGCACAAGAGGAAGGAAGTTCACACTGCCCGCTACAAGAGTTCCCCTCCAGGATGTGCCCGAGGAAGTTTCTGGAACCCCCAACCTTGCCCACACTCCCGGCTGTGCCCCAGCTCTGCATTCTCCCCACCTCCCAGTCAAAACGCCCAGTCCTAAGTTCTCTGGCTCAGTTTTCATTTGCAGCTCTCCTTGGAGACTTCCTTCCAGGGGTCCCCGTTAGAGCAAGCTCATGTACACAATAAACGGAGTCACTCCGCAGCAGCTGGCGAGTGTTTTCAATGAGTTGGAAAATCAGGTTGAATGTATCATTAAATATGGTGCTTACGCCGAAGCCCAGACATGCAGGCTAAGTGCTTTGTCATTAGACCTCCTTTACCCACTCCCCAGCCCCCTTGCCTTCTCTTCACCTTCGTCTCTGCTTCTCCAGGGTTTTTAAAGTTAAAATCTGCCTAAGTATTCTATTAATATGTTTTAAGAGATGCTTCTTCAAGTAAACAGTTCTTTGCCTTAGGGGTCAATGTGATCTTTTGCTAACAGGAGGCACGTTGGCTTGTGTATGTACATGAGCTCATGAGTGTGTCCCTGTGTGTGCGGTGGCTGAATACATGTTTACCGTGGACACCTGCCCATACAAGTGTCATTGTGCTTGTATTTCTGTCCCATGGGCATCTGTGCATCTCACACCCACACACACACACACACAGGCTCCCAGAGCTGTAGGTGCTCTAGTTTCAGTTTCTGAATGACTTGAGAGGCTGGAGTCTGTCTAGATGGATGGATGGCACTCAGACGGCCACCAAGATGTGTTTTCCTAGCTGACCAGGACCGTCACCCCACCCCCCATAGTCTCAGGACCTTCAGCCCAGGGGGGTCAAGTCTTCAAAGGTCAGCTGCCCGCTTCTGAGCAGGCATAAACCAACCCAGCACAGCCTTCCTTTTCTCCTTCCACCCCTGCCTCTCTGCTCTCCTCCTAATGGTATCTCTTCCCTCCCAGCCTCCTCCGTCTTCACTTCCCTTCTTCAAAGAGCCAGATGTTACACAAGCTTGACAAGGACCCAGAGAGCACAGACACTGGAATGGGAAAGGCAGGGGAAACCATCTCCAAACTCTCACTTCATGGATAAGCAAACTGAGACTCGGAGGTGCAGCGATTTCTCCCAAGTGCCCAAGGAGGTAATGGGAGAGCCAAAACCAGAGCTCGGATTTTCCCAGCCTTTTCCACAACTCTGCCCTTGGAGGAGAAAAACCATTTCATGGGCTCTTTTGCCGCCCCCCTCAAGCCCCACCCATGTCAGAGCGTCGGGATAGAGTGAGTGTGACCAGGGAAGGTCCCCAGTAAGGGAAAGAAGTCTGACCTCCTTCCAGGAGGTAAGGACTTCAAAGGGATTCTCTTCCCAGTGAGCGGGAAGGAGGGGGCGCTGAGACACGGAGGCAATGGCCCTGCTGCCATCAGACGTTTGGTGTAACTTTACAGGTGCCGCGTTGGTCCCCACACGCCCCCAGCTGTGCCACGTGGCCATCAGAGTGCTGGCACCGACCGGCATAACCGTGGAAAGAAACGAGAAAGTGCTGACATGAATCCCAGCTTTTAGCCCCGGAAGGGGCTGGAGAGGCAGACGACCCTCCAGTTCAGTCCCTCGTGTTATGCAGGAACCCTGCACACGGGGACCGAGGACTTGCCCCAGTTCGCTCAGGGAGGTCCAGGGTTGCATCCCTAGAGCACCCTTCTGTTTACAGACCCTTCGCATCCATTCTCCCACTTGGAGCTGGTCCTGATGATGCTCCTATGAGGACAATGCTTGGCAAGCCTCGGATGAGGACACTAATTCTACATAACGTGCCCACATGGCAATAGTGTCCCCACAAGCCCAGCTCAGCTGTCTCTCCTCTGTCTACCACAGCCTACTGTTCCTCTGCTTCCCTGGAGACAGAGCAGAAGACAGAGGCACACGGAGGGAGGAAGCAGAGATCGGGGACACAGGTGTGCCTGAGACTCCCCCCAGAGCACTGCCCTCTGCAAGGCCCCCAAGAAGCCAGGTTGAAGCGAAGGCTGAGGAAGGGGCGGGTATGATTCGTTCTCCAAGGTCAGGGGCGCCCTCTGCTGTTAGCACAGTGAATTGCACGGCCCCAGCCCATGCTCAGAGACTGTCCATTGAAAAATCAGGCAACCGCCCTGCGTCCTGCCAGAGGAAGGGCTTATAGAACAGGGTCAGTGGAAACGGAACCAGAAGGCCTTCCTCTCCCTGGGTGTCAGAGCTGAGTCTATCCTCTGAGGACTCAGATGGGGAGGGTGTGGGAATAGGGGAGGAGAAAAAATAGGGGGCTGCCTTAATTCTCTGGGACCGGGGAGCCTTTTATTTGGGATGTAGGGCAAAGGTAGATGCCCCTCTCCCCTTCGTCCTCTCCATGCATTGATATTTCCAGAAGCTCCTCTCACTTATTCAAAGACCGAGCTGTGCCAATGGAGCGAACAGCCCAACAAGGAGCCCAGAGGAGACACAGCATCCGTGAAGATTTTTTACTCAGTCACCCACCAGCCTAAAAGTTAAAAAAAAAATGTCCATTTTGGCAGCTTTGAACCTGGGCCAAAGCGGAGCATAGCAGCAGGAAGAGCACAGGACTAGGAAACCTGGGATCTGGTTCTATGTCTACCACTTATTACTTATCGTTGACTAAGGCTTTTCTCTCTGTGCCTCAGTTTCCTCTCCTGAAAAATGGGCCTTCTAATACGCTGCCTTCCAACTCAGAGATGTGTCCTGGAAAATTCACTTAGGTATACATAGCAGCGTTAGCAAATGGTGCTGATGCTACCTTGCTCTGTTTTCTTTCCCATGAAATGGGCAGTTGTGGTGGGAAGGTGTGGACAGAGCCAGGGCCAACTTCCCTGCCCGGAACTCTTGACTTTGAAATGTCGCTGGTGGTTCCATCTTAGCCCTTAACCATGTCAGTGGGCTCCCACCTTAAGGCAAGGCATTGCCAAGGTTGTATAAATAAAAATGCTGTTAGTGGGGCAACACAGTAGCCGAAAACTAGACAATCCCCTTAGCAGTCAGCCTCCTGGAAAGCAGGGGCTGCTCCCAGCTAGGTCCAGAGGATCTAGGACTGGGGGAGGGGAACTCTGCTCAGGAAGGCAAGAGAGAGCAGGGGTAGGGTCCCGGCGACAGCATGAGGACCCTAAGATAGGGGCATGGAGGCAGGGAGGGAAAGGACAGCTTTCTCTGAGTTTAGGATCGTCCTGGGACCAGCCCTGAGTTGACTTTACCTGACAGAGAGGTCAGGAGCATTAGTGAGAACTCGCTGTGAGGTGGGGCTCCCTCTGTCCCTGTGCCCGGGACAGATCCTGGACTTCACTGACCTCAGCACCTGCCCCAGTGCAGGCAAACTGCTTCCCCAGGAAGCAGCACCCAGCAGGCGCACACGAAGTATTGCTGTTGTTACTATTGTCTCATCATCATTGTGATAACAGTCCTGGCCCTCTTATTTCCTGCACGATGTTCTCTTATTTGAATTTCCATTTCCTCATCAGCAAAAACAAGAATCATCTTTGCCCCTCCTCAGCTCCCGGGGTTGCAGCGCGGAGAGGGAGAGAGGTATCCCGGGTGCATCTGCGGGGGAAGGTTCCAGAGGGACCCCAAATGCTGTTATTGAAGGCTGAGTGTTCCGTGGCGAAGAGCTGCTGTAGCATCTCTGCCTGCACTTGATCTGAATGTGCACATTACTGTAATGTCCCAGCGCTGCCGTCAGCACTGGGAAGGCTGAGCTATTTGTAACCACGAGACGCATGAAGACCAAATGGTAGAGGGAAGCTCGTCTGGCTTACCTGAGAAAACAGGGCCGCTGGCTTTGAACACAACTGGCATTGAGGCGTGGCCACCTGCGTCACATGCCGCTGCCCAGGGCTTCCTGTGGGGAAGGAGGAGAGACGGGGGTGAGGAGACAAAGGCAAGGAGAGTATGCGTCCTCCGGGGGCACCACAAAAGAAAGAGAGAGAGGGAATCCAGTTATAATCCCACCCCCGGTGCCATTACGGACGCTAGAAGTCCTGTCTGCCTCCACCTGTGCTCTGAGAGCACCACCTGCCCTCCACAAAACTTCCTGGCCCCTCAGAGCTGGGCTGAGTGCCTGGTCCTTGGTTTCAGCTATTCCTCTCCCTGCTCTCTCATCCAGAGCGACAGAGGACCCCAAAGCAGCCAGTCTCCAAGGCTCAAGTTGCAGGGAGGGCATGGCAGTGAGGTGATGCCCTGACTGGACTTGAGAAGCGGCCGGAGGTGGAAACCAATGGGCAGCACAGAATCCTGTTGAGACCCTCACGAATGTCCCCTCAAGGCTACGGCTGCCTTTTAATTATCCCCAGGCCTCTCCCTCCTCATGGTAGGTCCTCCCAACTTTCCCACCACGCCTCCCTCGATGTACATTTGCAACTGTTTCCAGTACTGGGGGGCGGGGAGGGTGGCTGGGAGGGATGTCATCTTGCCTAAACCTTACTCCCCATGGGATGGCCAGACACTCATCCCCCTTTTTCTTTTCCCTCCAGACCCTGGGGAGATCTCTGGGCCTTGGTTTTGTCATCTGTATGGTGGCAGTAGTCGTCAATGCTCTCCGAGGACCCAGGTCACTCCCAGCATTCTCACTGTCCTCATTAGGCCCCCCTCTCCCGACACCACGGGCCAGCAAGGCCTGTGCCCCTCGGCGTAGAGATTCTGCTTGGTCACCTCCTTCTCCCCTTCCCCCATCATACTAGGAACTTCCCCCCAGACTTGCTGCTTCATTTCACCCTTTGGTTATGACAAAACATACACATTTATCATTTTAACTATTTGTAAGTATACCATTCGATGGCGTTAAGTACACTCACAATGTTTTATACTATCGTCACTATTTATACGCAAAAGTTTGTCATCATCCCCAATATAAACTCTATTCCCATTAAACAATGCCTCCCCCCATTCCCCCTGCCCTCATCCCAAGTAACCACTATTCTACTTTCTATCTCTATAGATCTGTCTATTCTAGGTGCCTCATGTAAGTGAAATTATACAATATTTGTCCTTCTGTCAGACTGGTTTCATTTAGCGTATTTCCAAAGTCCATCCAGGTTGCAGCACATGTCAAAATTTTATTTCTTTTTATGAGTGAATAATATTCCATTTTATGGATATATACCACATTTTCTTTATCCTCCCATCTGTCCATGGACATTGGGTTGTTTCTACCTCTTGGCAATTGTCAACAGTCGTGTCACACACATGGATGTACAAGTATCTGTTTCGAATTCTCTCAGGTATATACCTAGGAGTGGAACTGCTGGGTCACATGGTAGTTCTCTGTTTAACTTTTTAAGGCGTTGTCAAACTATTTGCCCCAGTGATTGGACCATTTTACATTCCCACCAGCAATGCATGAGGCTTCCAATTTCCCCACATCCCCACCAACCTTGTTATTTTCAAGGTTTTTTTAATCATAACTATCCTAGTAGGTGTTGAGTGGTTTAATTTCACTCTTAAACCCCCTCAACGCCCAAGATGCTTGTAGTTTTATATGACAATGGTCCTAATCTTGTATTCCATTAGGTATAAATAATCCAGTTTAAGAGGGAAAGCTCACAGAGGGCAGGAACTGCGTATGGTTCCCTCAAGACCACCATTTTCACCTTCATGTCTCACTAGGAGATGACCAGGGTGGCCTGCAGAGGAAACAGCTTTCTCCCTTAAGTCCCAGAGTCCAGCTGTGTCCGCCCTTCCCGCTGACAGACGCTGGAATGCCAGAGGCCTCAAGGACAGTCTTTGATGAACCGGGAGAAAAAGAAAGAAAAGAGAATAAGAAAGAGTTGGACGAGCCTGAGATAGAAAGGGCAGGGCCCAAGAGTGAAAGCAGGGAGAGGAGAAGAGAGATTGAAGGGGGAGCTAATCACAGAATCCAATCTCCAGAGAAGCGGATTCCGCGGCTCCTTCCCTGCACCTGATTCTTCACCTCACGGATCTGAGCTGGAAAATTACAGAGATTCTGCTGTCGAACTCCCTGCCACCTCAGCCCCTGCCACTGAGGCCAGAGACAGCCTCAGGTGCCCCCCCAAGGACGCCAGTCAGGGCCCAGGCAGACTGGAGGATCCAGCTGTTGTCAACATAGCTGTTGCTCTGGGCTTTGCCAAGGGACCTGTCACTGCGGGCCTTTGAGGGGTGCAGGTTACTCCAGGAGAGGGAGGGCCCAGGAACGGGGTGGCAGTGGGACCTGTGGGTGTGGTTGACTAGCCAGTGGCTACATCCCTGCTTCTTCTTGTCCAGACATCCATGGAAAGGCAGAAGGGATGCTCAGAGGCTCACTCACCCAAAGGGCAGGATAGGGAGATGCGTGGAAAGGGACGTGAAGAACCCCGGGGAGGCCAGGAGAGCAGGCCGGGGGCAGAGGGAGGCCTGGGACACGTTGATCAAATGTAAATCGACTAAAGTGGAACACTTTCCCCTCTCTCCCCGTCTCTCCCCGTCTCTCTCCCAGTTACTATCAAGGCAAAATTTATGAAGGGCTTCAGGCACTGGATATTCCTTGTATTTCAATCTAACTTTTTGCAATCTCAAGTGAACAGCTTGGCTGCTTCTGCCTGTCAGGGAATTTAAATTGCAGATGGGATGGTGAGCCAGCCACCCAGGCAGGAGCAGCCCCTCTAGTGCACACCATCATTGCCTAGCAACCAGGCTGGGAAGAACCTGACGAAGCTGTAGAAAGTTCCACTCCGGAAAGTGCCCTTGACCCAGGGCACCTCCTGGGAAAAGAGAGGGAGTTTCCCAGAGAGAAGAGACAGCCAGGTAACAGGTCTGCTCAGTCAAGGAACGCAGCCAGGGAATACACCCAGTGCCACTGGTGTGTCCTTTTTGACATACAGAATCCCCTCTGGCCTCTGCCTGGTTTTTGACATTCCATTGTTTTGGAGATTGTTTTCAAACCAAAGATGCCATCCTTCTTCTCTGTGTGCCCTTCACACCTCACACATCGACAATGTGCGGAGAGAGACGAGAATGAATAATCCAACACACACACACACACAATCACATGCAGAGATAGGCAGGTGCTTATGCTGTTAACAACTAGCCGTCAGCAAATACCCACAACAGCTAAAAGGAGGAGGAAACCTATTAAGTCTGCTCCCGCTTGGACCTCAGTTCTCCAGGATGGAACCGGTATGATTATGGCCTTTGGCCTTGATCAGAGTTAGTGTCAGTAAAGTGTCTGCTACACTTAACATCCTAGGAAAGAGCACCCCAAATGCACTTAAGGCCGGAATCAAAGCATATGCTTTTACTTAAATAATTGGCTTTGAGAATAAAAATGGAAATAGTACCCCAGTGTGTCTGTCAAAGTTTACACATATTGGTGTCCCATCAACTTTGAGGCAAAACAACCCTCCACACACACTCATGGAAAACACACCCACATCACACGCACCCTTTTCTACCGTATGTCCAGGAGATACCTCATGTATTTTCTGGGTTTCTGCTCTGAGTTGAATTGTGTCTTTCCTCCAAGAAAAAAAAAAGATATGCTGAAGTCCTAATCCCTGGTATCTCAGAATGTGACCTCATTTGGAAATAGAGTCACTGCAGATGTAATTAGTTAAGATGAGGTCATGGTGGATACGGTGTCCATAGGACTGGGGTGTCCTTCTAAGAAGTCACACAGGCCATGGCGAGACACAGAGACACGGGGAGGATGCGATGTGAGGACGAAGGCAGAGACTGGAGAGCTGCAGCTGCAAGCAAGGAGCACCAAGGACTGCAGGCAAACCAGCAGAAGCGACAAGAGGCCGGGAAGGATCCTCTGCTATAGGTTTCCGAGGGAGTGTGGCCCTACGACACTTGATTTTAGACTTTTAGCCTCCGGAACTGTGAGACGATACATTTCTATTGTTTTAAGCCACCCAGTGTGCAGCCCTAGGAAATAATACAGTCTGCTCTCTGTCACTCTGCTGAAGGGGACCAGAAAGGCCCATGTGCTGGCAGTGCCAGCTCGGAGTGAGATAGAAGTGGGTCCGCACAGGAACGAGCCTGGGCCCTCTGGATGCAAATGCCGGCGTGGAGTTGAAGGGTTTCAAAATCTTTGAGACTTTGGGCAGAGAGCTGGATATTGGCTTTTTGGCTAAACCGTGATCTTTCATTAAGGGTTTGTTCAGTAGACAATCCCATGGCCCTCGAGCATCCCGTGGGGGAGCAGTGTTTTCAGAGTGCTGAGGCCGGTGCCCTGGCCCGCATTTTCCTCACACGTGTCGACCTCACTCACTGGGCACTTCTCCACTGCTGCCTGGCCCTGTCCTTTAGCTTGTCCTGCCCCTCCAGGGGGGCACATCTTCCAGGGCTGGCACTACGCTGTGTCCTTCACTGGGTCATGCAGAGTGCTGTGCGCTTAGTAGGTGCTCAATAAATGTGTGGAAATCAATGCACAAGGCATACAAATATGAAAACCATGATTCACACAGAGACGCCTAGTGAGTGACCACCAGTGGAATCAGCGCACCAACCCATTCATGTCTGCGTTGTTATTATTGCTGTGTTATCAATACCCCATTCACGGTGTCTGATTCAAGTGTATTCGCTTCGGGTACCTATGTCTTCCTGGAAATTCTAGAAGGTAGGTAAAATGGGTGTGATCACCCCATAGGTCAGAGACAAGACAGAGGTAGGATCTGAGTACTGGACCAGTGAGGCAGCTGGACGTGGAGTGGGCCAAGAGTTGGGAGCATATGGTTCTAGACCTGCCCACTGATAGAACAAGTTACTTCACCTCCCCTGACTGAGTATCAGTGTCAGCAATCTGTTAAATGAAGGTAGTTATGCCTTAACCAACCTGCAAATGACTCTTTGGCCTCTGATTTCCCAATCGTGGTAGACACAGAAAAGTGCCACAGGTCCCCTTCTGTG